CTAGCCTTGCCATCAAGTTCTTAGCGTAAATTTAGTACAAAACCTTACGGCAACAAATGACTACTAAGTTAATCGAGTCACTATATTTCACTCCAACAAAAAGAAACTTAGTTGGAGTGCGAATCAAAAAGAGAGACATGCCGCTGGATGCAGCTTGTAAAGCTAAGGTAAGTTACAAATCTGCTTTCCATAAATGCGAACGTTCTCCAGAGAATTTGAGGTTATTCGCTGCTACCGTATAGCTTGACAATAATTACTTCATATTCAGTGAAGTTCAATCTCAAACAACAGCACGATGGATGATTATTTGGTCGTTATTGCACAACTTTTGTTGCTGATTTGATAACATGCAGAGCTTTTTAGAGTTTAAGTCATTTCAGCATCGAAAAAAAATTATAACTTCAAGAAATATATTGCACATAAGAACGTGTCGAGCGTCTACCAGTGTGTATCACTTTTTAGACCATACTTTGACTGAGCCCTCTTGCCTTGTCAGTTGATTTCAGGAGCGTATTAAGCACAATTTCTCAAGTTTTTCCAAATTCAAGTTAAGATGCAAACTATCATTATTTGTGCCTACAAAAAAAGTAGACAACTAGACGTTACCGGCAACATTTCCAAAGATTGGTTGCATAATTCTAATCAAATGCGAACGCTATAAAAAGAGTATTGGTTTGCAGTGATACTCCGTTTTAAATCGTACCTTTGTGGTGTACTGGTTCCTGAACCTATCTTGAAAAGAGCTCGCTTTTGTTCACGTTCCACAATAAATACATTTCTACGGCGTTCATCCTCGCCGATCCTGTAAAAGATAGGCAAAATCATAATTACATTCCAGTGAAACATAGACTTAAAAGTGTGATAAAAAAGCATACCTATCATAAATTAGACCATCAACACCAAGCTCCTTCTTGAAATAATTGATATTTTCCTTTTTATCTAAATCATCTCCCCAAACAAATGTAATCAACCGGAAGTCGTTAGCTCTTTTAACTGGATATGGATCATTCAAAAGATCTTCAGAGTTAAAGTTCACACCCTAAATCAGCAGATTAAATCTCACTATTTGTGAGGAAGGAGAGCAAAAGTCAAAATATACCATAATGTCAGCTCCTGCTGCAAAGTTAACGGCGGTAAGACTAGTGCTTGTGCGTTGATCTTGAAATCGAGTATAACGCTGGGTTTCTCCAACGCAAAGGAACAACACGGGGTACTTATTTTGCTTCATGGATATTCTGAAACGAAAAATGCATTGAGTGTGTATCAAAAGTTCTCATGGAAAGTTCAGCTGAGGAATGTACGAAAACGCGCAAGTATAGGCAAAACTATTGGGTGGTTACTTCAATATATCTTTCCGATATCTAGGCGCAAATATAACGTAAAGCTTATTCTCACATTGAACACAAGTCTGCAGAGAAAATTGCGAAATCTGCACAATTACACAAGGACGTGTTTACTTTCGAGTCGTATGCGCAAACGCTTGTATAAATATCTCCACTGTACTCTTTTTTACTTTTTTCACCACTATTTTTTCCTTTTTTACAAGTTTTATAATAGTATCGGTTTGGAAACTCACAAGGAGCAGATGTCTGGATCAAAACTAGAAAACATAATCCTCCTATTACCAGCATTATTGAGAAGATCCGACAAAATCACGTCTACGAACTCATTCCGCTCAAAGTAGTGATCACATTCGTGCTCTCCATTCTAAAATATATAAAATATTTCTGAAAGAGATTTCGAAGAAAACTCTTACAGTTTGCATCATGGGGTACTTGACTTCTACGTTGAATCCGACGTCTGGATCTACTTTTGTAAGCGCTTCAATCAGAGTGGGGAAAGGTTTAAAATCCTCTTCCTCCTCACCATCCTCTACAAGCTTTTTCACCTTCTCCTTCATCTGACGAAAATTGACGTGATCCAGCTAAAATTGTTCAAATGTAACGGATGGGAGTCAGCAGATGCAAAATCCTCTCATTAAGAAGATGAAGGAGAAGAGAAACATTGGGCCTACCATCAAAAGTTTCAGTTGACTGAGCTTCAGATCTTTTACTGGGATCTCGTAGAACTCGATGAGCTTCTCGCTGTGCATATCCGCTGGATGCAAAATTTCCGGGAGCGCAGAATGACGTTTTGCCACAGAAACAAGGACATGGAAATCGTGATAGATCACCGCAACCTACAATGGCTGGTTCTGCCAATATACATTTCATTAAAAAGTTGAAGGCCTTGTAATTTTAGCTATTCATTTGAACCTTTGAAAAAGAAACATGCAAAACATGTAGTGTCACATATGAAAACGCTTCTTTCTGCTTAGCATTTGAGCAGTAAAAGATAAATAAAGGGCTTCTTACTGAACAAATTCGTAGAATATTTTCCTTTGTTAAAACTTGACGGCGAAATCACCCTATTACGTTGGCACTTTCCCGTTACAAATCGGAACAACCCAGTTTTCAGCGGCAAAATTCTCATCTACATCCAAGTAACATCACTGTTAGATCTTCGTTCATGATGCAAAACAGTGAGATGACAAAATTTGACACGCACTTTTGAGTCATACACGATCTACCACACTTTAAACATTCTTCATGTTTTACTAAAATGCAATAAATGAGGAAAAAAGAGGTTTATGATAAGTTATAGTTGTTTTACAATACGCCCAATGATGACATAAAATAGAAAAATCGGCACACGTCATGAAGCACTTGGCTCACCTTATCTTTCGTCAACTGAACGTCGAATTCAACATAGTCCGCTCCATTTTTTGCAGCGGTGTTCAGCGAAAAGATGGTGTTCTCGCGAGCGGCTGCAAACCTGGAAGGGGAACTTTACTATACACAAAAAGGTGAGTCGAGTGATTAATATGCAAGAGACGTACTTATTTCAAATTAGTGTACTTTACAGTTAAAAATCACTTTTATAGAATTGTAAATTAAAAGAAATCAGATGAGCTTTTTGCCTCTTATGATTTCCATGAAGTGCCCAGGGACATGGCTGCTCCAAACTCCACGCTTTTTGTAGACTATCAAATTTCTGATTTCTTTCTAGTTTATGTCGAAGTGCACGCGACTATAGTGGTTTTCTTATTACATGTATTTTCCCCTAGATAAATGGCTGACAATTTGAAAGTTCTGAGT